CATTCAGTGGGCATCAGGATCACCCGCAACGCTGGCTGAACACGCATTGCTGGGCTCCAGCCCCAAAGCTTCTGTCCCCTAGGTCTGGGGGTGGGGGAGAGGGCCAAGAATCTGTGTGTCTAACGAGTGCTCAGGTGATGCTGGTTCAGAGAGCATGCTCTAGAACCCTCTCCTCGGTCCTCCTCAACAAGCCCTGTCCAGCTTTCAAGAGCTAGTTCAAGTTCCCCCATCCATGTGGCAGTCTCTTCCAATGGCCAATATTGATCTCCCTCTGTTCTTCCAGACCACCCCTAGCACTGACCATGTGCTGGTGGTCTGGAAAAGGGGAGAGAGCCCTCAGGGACCGTGGGCTGGGCAATGTGACACTGTACCACTCCCTGCCTTCCTAGCGGCTCTTACGGGCAGAGCCTGGGAGGAGCACTTCTTTGGCAGCCCTACTTACGCAGGAGGTCTTCTGAATGTCCCAGGTAAACGGAACCTTTTCCTTCACACACAGACTTCTAATTATTCACTCACACATTCACTATCAGTCAAAAAAAAAAAAAAAAACAGTGAGCACCTACTGTATGTCCGGGTGCACAAAATGAAAATCTCTTTTCTCTACGGAAACCAAGAATTACAATAGCATTAAGTTACCAGAGAAGGGGCGCCTGGGTGGTTCAGCCGTTAAGCGTCTGCCTTCGGCTCAGATCATGATCCCAGGGTCCTGGGATCGAGCCCCACATGGGGCTCCCTGCTCGGCGGGAAGCCTGCTTCTCCCTCTCCCACTCCCCCTGCTTGTGTTCCTGCTCTCGCTATCTCTCTCTGTCAAATAAATAAATAAAATCTTAAAAAAAAAAAAAAGTTACCAGAGAAGCCTGCAGAAAGGGCTCCTTCCAAAGGCAGCCAAGGAGCCCACCCTTGCAGCCCCGGGGACGGCTACCTACACACAGCCATGCGAGCACGCACGGTTGTGGTCACATCCACGTGTAGCCATGGTGAAGGTCTGGTCGCCAGTTGCAGGCTTCATTTGTCCTCAGCTAAGCCACCCAGGACTCGGAGACAAGATTTATGGGCAGATATTGTTAGGAGAACAGATGTCCAAGTAAGGGGGCAGGGCAAATGGGAACAATGGTTGTGAGACAGGGAAGCTGAAGGGACTCCATTTTAGAAAGGCCCCATTTACTCATGGTCTAAATTTCTTTTTTTTTTTTTTTTTAAGATTTCAATTATTTATTTGAGAGAGAGAGAGAGAGCACCAGCTGGGGGAGGGGCAGAGAGAGAAGCAGACTCCCGAGCTCAGCTGGGAGCTCGATCCCAGGACCCTGAGATCATGACCTGAGCTGAAATCAAGAGTCGGACGCTTAGCTGACTGAGCCACCCGGTGCCCTCGTGCTCTGTAGTTCACCTTGCATCTAGGTAAACCCAAAGAAGCTCCTTTCCCACTCCAAGGGGGAAGCAAGGAAGTGAATTGCTCTCTGAGTCTCGTCCTGGCCCCAGAACACCTGAGAATATCTAAGAAGAACGGGATCCCAACCATGTTCCAGGACATTAGCTTCGAACAAACCTCGGCCCACACTGGCATGGACACACCTACCTTCGGTGATTTATGGAGGAACACCTATTGTTCAGCTGACACTCCCTGTGATTGATCCCTACCCTGGACTCCTGGAGGAACACCCCAGACCCTTTCCCTGTATAAACCCCTAACTCCAGGAACAATGAGACAAAGTCTCCTCTCCTTTCTGAGTCTTTTAGATACTCCGTTTGCTATACTCTATCACTTACGCTATTCAGTAAGCTCTGCTTTCATTTCCTCCTGGCTTACATTTGATTTCTATTCTGCACAAAGCCAAGGACCCTCTTGGCTGGGCCTGTGGGGCCCCCTCTGTGTCCTTGGACCCGCCTGCCTATGTCACTTGTGATGGTTGCAGGCCTGGAACCCATTGGAGGGAGGCGAGAAGACACCACCTCCTAATGAAAAGGCAGCAGACCCTTGTCCCATTTCTGCAAACATCTGGGGCTCTGGACACTTGGGTCTTGTGCCCCAGCAAGACATTCTGGGCAGGCTGAAGACACCAGATTCTCCACTGGGGCTGTTGGCTTCTCTGTGACCTTGGGCAACTTTTAATTCTTCGTGCCCCCATTTCACTATCTAACATTATCTTTTAAAAAGGTAGTAAAGCCCAAAACAAGATGATAGAGGTCCCCACTGGAAGAATAAAAGGAGAGATTTAAAAACAAGCAACAGGGGTGCTGGGTGGCCCAGTCGGTTAAGCGTCTGACTTTTTAAAAAGATTTTATGTATTTATTTGATAGAGAGAGAGCACAAGCAGGGCGAGCGGCAGGCAGGAGGGAGAGGGAGAAACAGGCTCCCCGCTGAGCAGGGAGCCCTATGACCCCAGAACCCCAGGATCATGACCTGAGCCGAAGGCAGACCCTTAAATGACTGAGGCACCCAGGCGCCCCAAGCGTCCGACTCTTGATCAAGACTCAGGTCTTGATCTCAGGGTTGTGAGTTCAGACCCTGCATTAGACTCCATGCCCAGCATGGAACCTACTTAAAAACAAAACAAACAAACAAACAAACAAGCAACAATAATGCCATCTGTAAAAGTAAAAGAGAGAAACGGCAAGGAGACCAGGCAGGGAACACCCTTCAGTGCCTCAGTGGGGAGAGGCTGCATGCGTTCGGGCCCCCTGGAGCAGGGATTCTGGGCTGGAGGGGTGCAGCAGGGTCTCTGGGAGCTTCTGAAAGACAAAGGTCTAGGGCCCCCTACTGAATCAGAGTCCCCCCACCCAGGAACACGCCATTTCCATTCCCTGCCCCCCATAGCAAGTCAGAGAGGCTCAGGGTATTCCGGGGGCTTCCAGACTTGAGATACCACCTCAGAGGTGAGAAGCAAATCATTATCTAAGAGGGGAGGAGGGAGGGACAGTGGCCGCAGGGAAAACACCAAGGGAACCTAGAGACCAGCTGGAGAGGAGAAAGAATGTCAACATTGAGGTGCCCTTTGTCCACCCCCAACCCAGATCTGATTCTGGAGAAGGGATACCACCCTCCCAGTTCAGGCCAGCCAGTCCTCCAGGGACCTGCTGCTTTAGTCAATGCACGTCTGAGTCCTGGGCTGGGCTTTCCTCTGACCACCACCGAACCTGGCACATTTGCCTGTGCTCTCCACGCCTTGGCCCCAACAGCCTCATGCTGACCAGCTGCGACTCTTTATTTCAGGATTCAGATCGTGGTCCTCCTCCTCCAAGAAGCCTTCCCAGAGGCACTTTTTGGCACACCCCCACACAGCCTTGGCCTGTTAGATTCTTGCCGTACCATCAACGTGGCAGCACTGATCACCTCTCACAATGACCGGTGTGCGGCCGGTGGCCCCGGCAGACAGTGGATTGTTTGGGTCTCATTCAGTTCTTCGACCCCAACACCCAGGTCAGTGCCCAGCATAAAGCGGGCGAGCAATACAGATATTTATGCTGACCAGGAGAAAGGGAGGGAAGGAAATTTTACATCAAACAGTTGCACTAGGCAAATTTTTCAAAACTCTAGAGAAATTACAGCAATTTTTTTTTTTTTTTTTTGGCACTTCCTTTGTGACACGGAGAAGCCCGAGACCCAGGGAGGCAGAGATGGACAAGCACCCAGGCAGAATGGCTCCAGGGTCCTTGTTCTCCACTAGTCGGCTACGGTTGATGTAGTCCACGCAAAGGAAGAAAGATGAACACCTAGAAAAAAACTAGCTCCCTCTGAAGCCCTTGCTCCCTGTGGTTGAGGGGTCCCAGCAGCTCTAAGCATCACATGCTTTTGGACAAAGCCGGAATCCAGGTTGCTGTCCACAGGAGCCATTTGTCCCTGCTGGTAGCCCCTTGCAGTCAGGTACCAGGGACACTGCTGCAACCATCGGGGAGAGCCCAGCAGTCAGCGGTCCCCACTGGGGGCAGAGCTCCGTTGAGAGACAGTGACAGGGACAGTGCCACTCAGGGCCTTGGCGTGGAAAGGCTTTTCTCCCCCATGCCCACGTCTCTTGGCCCACTGGCTCGGAACAGCAGAGGGGTGGCCTGCACCTGCCCCACCTGGCCTGTCTGGGCCTGGGAACAATGGGGAGGATGTTCTACGAGCCCGGGAGCTTTACTCTGAGAGACGCTGCAAAGAAAGCGTCACCACTCAGGAACTGTAAGAGGTGTCACGGGAGGCGGGGAATAAAATGTATTCAGGGTCAACTGAGGTGACTAAAAATGAGCCATATGACAGGTACGTGGTGAGGTGTATCCCCAGAGCCTTCATTTGACTTTCACACCAACCCAGTGAGACGGCTACCATCCCCCTTGTCTTACCAACAGAAAACTCGGGCAGTGTTCAGCTGGAAGGAGAGGGAGCGAGAACACAACCTCAGAAATGGGGTGTGTTTGGCCAAGGCCGAGCAGAGATTGAAGGGTCTTTGAGTAAAGCATTAAAGATACTTGCTCTCTGTTTTCTCTCTTTCTTAAGTCAGGACAAAATGAAATGGGACGTAAGTTAGATTCCAGAAGAAACTCGTGAACTATAAAGAGGCGTGAGAGAGTTCACTTCCCAGGATAGAAACCCAGAAGTTGCAGCTCCATCACGTACCCATTCTGCAGGCAGGAGACTAGACAACTTGACCTTTATCACCATGAGTGTATCACCTATCACACTCAGCGGGCTCCTCGGGCAATTTTGCTCCAGGTCCAGTCTCGAGGGAGGCTCTCGGACAATGCAAACCTGAGGTTAAATACATCCTTTGCTGCACTTAACAGACAGATGGGGAGAGAGTTCAGATATTAAAATGAAGTTTAGAGTCTGCTGATTTAATCAATGAGGTTAAAGTGACTGCATTAAAGTTAGCACGAGTGCAGTATTGCTAGAAACCTACTGGGTCGCCGGTCGGATAACGGAGTTCGTCAAAGCTGCGGTGCCCGAGGTGACTATATTTTCCAAACACGGCTGCTTCGCCCCCAGAAGCCCTGTCCCTCGGGGGCTGCCCTCACCCACTCACCAATGAACTTCTTTGTGGGAGCACCACAGGCCACAGAGCAGATCTGCTGTTGCCCCAGGCTGCTCAGCCCAACACTTGTGCTTTGGCCTGGAACAGAAGGCTCCCCCGAGCAGACCGTGATCAGCCAGGGACGCAGGATAGCCTGGGCCAGAGGAGGGGGCACCTGGAAACAGGAGCAAGATGCTCAGTCTCAAGAGAGGTTCCTGAATCTGAAGATTCTTCTCAAACCAGGTAACCCACTGGTTGGAATCAAACACAGGGTGTACTAGTCACCATTGAACAAGTTTGTGACAATAACTTAGCAGAGTTTACCCAAACGTGGGGTTTCCTGAAGGTCAAAGGAGTCACAGTACCGAAGAGGTTTAAAACCTCTCAGGCCCTCGGGAGAAACCAGGGCCCAGAAAAGTCAGAGTCCTCCCCCTCAAGGTCTTGCCAAAGGATGAGCGTGGATGCCAGCTTTTCCGACCCAGCCCCCGCCCCCGGGGGCCAGCAGCTGTCTGCGAAAATGCAGGGGGCCCAGGAGGGCTGAGTGTCTACAACCCGCTGCGCGCTCCCCTCCATCTGATGGCCTCGCGATGTACGCGGCGCAACCCCAAAGGGGAGGCCAGGCCAGGCACCCTGCCTCGGGGTCCCGGGCTGGACGACTCACAGTTGGCTCCCCCACCCGGGCGCCCCAGGCCACCAAAGGCCTCCTGTCGATTCCTGCGCTGCCCCCACCTCTCTCTTTGATGCCAAATTGGGGAGGGGGGAGTAGACAGCAAAGAAAAATCCCCCACTAGGCATCGATTTGCCCAAAGCAAAGGCAACACAAAGGCTGCGCCTGTTTCCATGGAGACACGACTGGCGAAGCGAAGGAACGAAACAGAGCGAGAAACACAAACCCGTCAGCACCTTCCGGGGCCGGCGTGATCGATGTTGGCGGGCCAGAGCCCTGACAGGAAGATGGTGGAAGGATTAAAGGTAATCAGAGGATCTAGAAGCCAGAGCCCGAGCCCTTGCAGTTGGTAGAGCAGGAGGCGAGGAGCCTCCCTATCCCCCGGGCCTACAAACTAGGTTGGCCCCACTCCTGAGAAAGCTCCTGAACAACAACAACAAAAATCCTGGACAGAAATCCAAAGTGAGCAATTATTCACTTTACAAAAGGATTCCCTGCTTGACAAAGGAATTCCCTGAAAGAGCAAAATCCCATGGTGGATTGGAGCGTCTGTTTTATTGTTTACTTCTCTGAGGCTGAGGACAAGGACAAGCGAGTAGCTTCCAGTTGAAAGTTTGTAAGAAAAGATGACAAAATTCCCAAGGGGAAGGGATGGAGGGGTGAGGACAAGACTCTTGGTAAAATATCTGCTGGGGCGGGGGTGCACCTGGGTGGCTCAATGGGTAAAGCATCTGCCTTTGGCTCAGGTCATGATCCCAGGGTCCTGGGATCGAGCCCCGCAAGCCCCACGTCGGGCTCCCTGCTCAGCGGGGAGCCTCTTCTCCCTCTTTCTGCCCCTCCCCCTGCTTGTGCTCTCTCTCTCTCAAATAAATAAATAAAATCTTCAAAAAAATAAAATATCTGCTGGGAGAGGCCCACAGGAAATTGAGACAGGGCAGCTTTAAGACAGAAAGGTGAGTTAGCTGGACATCCGTGGCCTGTCCACCATGGAAGAGCACAGGAGCCCACAGTGGGAGAGGCTGGGCAACAACAGGTCTCTGACGGGGCCCGGCAGGGTGGACCCCAAAAGCAGGGCACTCTCGAAGCTCTTAGCTGAGGGGAGACGCAGGGAGCATAAGCGGTCAGTCCTCATTCCCCCAGGACAACAAGAAGGCCAGAGGCCTCTGGCTCCCGGGTGAAGGCCAGGGGAAAATGCCAGCATTAGCCTCGGCAGATGGCCGGGGCTCAGGGCACTAACAAGAGCCTCGGCGCTTGCTCTCGTCACTCATCAGGTGACATGTATTAAGCGCCCCTCCAAACGCATCGCCATCCTGGGAAGGAGAAAATGCCACACGCCAGCCCGGCCCTGCCCTTGGAGAGTCTCAACCAGGACTTCACTCCACTCGGCTTTTCCGGGACTCTAATTCCTACCGAGAACAAAAAACAAGCATAATAACGACGACAATATTTACTGAGCGTGCTGTGTGGGCCTGACACTGTACAGCCATTGTTCCGTTGACCCTCTCAACCAGACCGAGAGGCAGAAGCTATCCTCATCCCCGCTTACTGATGGGGAGACAGGCGCAGAGAGGCAAGTAACTGGCCCAAGGTCACACAACTAGTAAACGGCAAAGCCAGGTCTGCCCAGCTTCAAAGCCTGTGAACACTACAGGCTAAGTGCTTGCCGCATCAGCCCATTTAACAGACAAGCTGAGCACAAGAGAGTCCAAGCGACTTGCACTGAGGCAGGGGGTGGACTCTGAAGACCACCAGCTCTTCTGACTCCCTCAAGGCTTTTGTGCCCTGTGATGCCTCCCTTGGGAAGGCCAGGGGCTTTCTTGGTAGGGCACGTGGACCGACCTGTGGCCTCCTGTTCTGGGCCTCCGTTTACCTGGTACAAGGAGGCATGGGACCGTGTGAGCTCCTGTCACCTCACCGCGAAAGGAGGAGCTGGGAAGACACATGGGACGTGCGTCCAAGGTGTCGTCGGGGAGCCCACGGGAGGAAGACCCAGTCCCAGCTCCAGCAGAAGATCCCCAAAGGCCCACAAGCTCTGGAGTGAGCGCTGTAATGTTCACAGAGCACAATCCGGGCAGCATAGCCAGTGGGCGCGTGGTTCAGTGTTCTTCCCGCCAGCACACGTGTGCGAGATGCGGGCACTTCCAGGGGCTGCTGGGACCCGGCTGGCTTTCAGGGACTCAATTTCCCAAACCTCCACTTCCACAGGGAGTCCTTTCCCAAACTGCCGGACTGGCAGCCGCCTGGCTCTACAGCTCTCTTTACATAATGGCCCCTCCTCACCATTTCCCCAAAGAAAGGCCCACCTCCAGCCATCCTAACTGTACCCTGGTGCTCTCCCCTGGGGTGTGAACGCCACCAGACAAAGGGACAACTGGAGAATGCAGCATTCCTGGGGAAGGCCCCGGAGGATGGGCATGGAGAAGGGGGCTGGCCTCGGGGCGCCTGGGTGGCTCAGTCGTTAAACGTCTGCCTTCCGTTCAGGTCCTGGGATCGAGGTCCCGCATCGGGCTCCCTGCTCAGCTGGGAGTCCGCTTCTCCCTCTCCCTCTGCCTGCTGCTCCCCCTGCTTGTGCTCTCTTGCTCTCTCTCTCTCTAATAAATAAATAAAATCTTTTATTTTTAGTTTTTTAAGATTTTTAAATTTATTTATTTGACAGAGAGAGACACAGCGAGAGAGGGAATACAAGCAGGGGGAATGGGAGGGGGAAGCAGGCCTCCCGCAGAGCAGGAACGCTGGGATCATGACCTGAGCAGAAGGCAGACGCTTAACGACTGAGCCACCCAGTCGCCCCCAAAAAAATCTTTTAAAAAGAGAGAGAGAGAGAAGGGGGCTGGCCTTATTTTACCAAGGCCTTATCTATCTTACCCACCCTTCGTCCGTTGGTTTTTGGGTTACAATCAGGGAGCAGGGAAGCTGACACAGGGACACCTGTTTAACACATTTATTCAAATCACAAAACGGAATCTGACTTTTTCTGACACACAGTATGATTTGGCTGATGGCTCAAACGACGAGGTCCAGCTTTGCCAATTAAGAATTATGACAGACATTTCCCGTAACCGCATGGGCCGAGTTTGCTGGTTTAAGGCTTTGACAAAAATATATTTGAAGCGAGTATATGACATACAATCAGCGTGGAAATACGTTCTACTTAAAGTTGTGATAACAGGTTTTTTTTTTCTTTTTAAAGATTTATTTATTTATCCTACAGAGAGAGGAGAGAGTGAACACAAGCAGGGGGAGGGGCCGAGGGAGGATCTCCAGCAGACTCCCGGTTGAGCACAGAGCCCGACGCGGGCCTCGATCCCGCGACCCCGAGATCACCACTGGAGCAGAAACCAAGAGGTGGACACTCAACTGACTGTACCACCCAGACACCCCAAAGTTCTGATAAGAGTTTGTATATGTGAATTTCAAAATGTGTAAGAGGATACAGTTTTTCAAGAAATCTTTTGACAGGTGTGAGAGCAAAACAAGTGTGAAGGCTGTCGCTTTACTTCCCTGGAGCCGCGCTCAGGGGCTCTAGCTTCCAAGCCACCAACAAGCGAAGTCAGCTGCGGTGTATACAGCAAGCACTGGACCCAGCACCTGGGTCTAAGTTTGTTTCTGCTGCTTCTCAGCTGCGCGGATCTGGTTAAGTCACCCAAACACCCTGAGCCCGTTTCCTCATAAGTGAAAGGAAATAAAGCATCGAAAGCATATGAAATTCCCTGATGACGATGGTGCCAGACGGATAATGGAGAAGTACATCAGCCTTTGCAGCTCCACACAGTAGCCACGCAGGCAGCGTTTCCTGTTCGCTTGGACAACTTTATGGTATTCGTCTCTAGATCGTACTAATGACTTATATTTATTGAGCACTCACTATGTGCCGGGCTCCACGGGCCCCAGATCACTTTGTTTTCACAACAATCCTATGGATGAGGTGTCCTTCTTATTGCCGATTTACAAGCACAGAAAGCTTACACACTTGCCCAGCTCAGTCAGCTGGCAATTAAAGGCCCAGCAGGTGTGTTTGAGCCCAGAGATGGTGCTCTAAACCCTCCCTACTCAAAGTGTGGCCTATAGCTCGCAGAATCTGTACCCACTGGGACCTTATTAGAAATGCAGAATCCCTCTCTCTCACTCTCTCTCAAATAAATAAAATCTTTAAAAAAAAAAGGGCGCCTGGGTGGCTCAGTTGGTTAAGCGACTGCCTTCGGCTCAGGTCATGATCCTGGAGTCCCGGGATCGAGTCCCGCATCGGGCTCCCTGCTCAGCGGGGAGTCTGCTCCTCCCTCTCCCGCTCCCCTCTCTTGTGCTCTCTCTCTCTCTCTCAAATAAATAAAATCTTAAAAAAAAAAAAAAAAAAAAGAAATGCAGAATCCTAGGACCTCCCCCAAACCTAATGAATCAGAATCTGCATCTTAGAAAAATCTATGGGCAGTTCATACCCACATCCAAGTCAGAGAATCACGGCTCGAAATCACCAGACCGTTTTCCATCCTGATGCACCATCCTGGTTTTAT